ATGCCTTTGGGAACACAGAAGCTGGATTCCCCTGCTGGGTGTAATTTTATGAGCTCTGTAGGAGAATTTCTTTATGATCTTTTTCTCCCATGTACGTAATGTATACAGATGATTGTTCTCAAAACCAATTCTAACGATATATTTAAAAATCCCAAGCCCTAACAATCATAGACTTTTAGAGCCATGTAGGATATTTGCACCTATCCACAAACCTACAAAAGAGGCCCATCTTTTTATGATATTTTTAATAATGCTACATTATGGGAAAATACATCCTATGATTACCTGTTTTACATACTGTTTTGCAGTGTGTTCCAGATGTTACAATTAAAATACACATTAGTGTTGTTGTAATGCCCCCATCGAGCACCATCTAGACTTTAGATTGAGCAAGGAGGACACCATTCTATTCCAGCTTCCCTTATAATAATGTTCTTTCATCCATAATTGGACTCAGCCTCCTCTGAGGAAAGTGGGTCTGTTTTCTCTATAGTTTCTATGGGGTTAGTATACCAGCCAAATATTTATTACCCTTGCTGTATTAGTTTAATTTCTCTCACTAACTTACAAATATAGGGAGGGAGTATGAATGAAGACAAACAAAAGTAAATTGAATTTACACTTTATTAAATCAAACAATCATTGTGACCCTGAAAATTGTATTCAATAACATCATACAAATTATACATTGTTCTTTATCAAGCTTCAGTCACTATCTGATTAAAAAATACTTTGCCTGTATTATATATGTCCAGTGACTTATGAAACTTTTTAATAACTTAAGATGGGATTCATTATATCTTCTACTTACTTGTGGACCTGGTACATTTTAAAATACATGACAGAGTAAGGATAGCACTGTGACACCTTCCCGTTGGAAGTACTGGCTCGCTGGCAAAATTCTGCATTTTCCAACTTCCCCACTCCTGGAAGTTTTGCTAACAGGAAGTGCAACTAAGTACACCTCAGCTGAAAAGCTCATTTCTTATAACTCATATTGTAGTTTGACTACATGTGACCCACAAACCCTTTTGTTAGTGGCCTCCGAGTGGAGGTTTTTCCAGGTTCTTGGTGATCATCAGGAGAAAAGAATTTCAGGACATGCCACATAAGCCAAGCAAGAGTGAGAGCTTCTTTTATTGAAAGCAAAAGTATATGAGAGAGAGAGTGAGAGAGCAGGCTCAAAAAGAGCAGCTGCACCAAGAAGTGGTTTCTGGTCTTTTGAAGTCTTGCTAATTGAGGGGAGGAATATTCAAGGATAAAGTATTGGCTTTGACTAAGAATTTGGGTCTTAATTCCTAGAATTGGGTCCCCTCCCATTTTCATACTTTATATGGTTGTCTCAGAACTGTCATGGTGAGTTCAAAGGCAGAGAAATTTTGAAACCACAATGTAAATAATATTGTAATTAGCCAAAGTTCACGTAAGGTGGCAGAGATGGCTGACAAACCAGTTGAAGCCGTTTTGTGCCTGCAGTTATCAACCCCTCTAGTTAGCTAGAGGGTTATTTACTTTAACATCCGCACCCAATCTGCAAGCCCCTGCATCTGGTCTCAGCTCTGTCTCCTAGACTATGCTAACACTTCCACAGGGTGGTAGAACCATCTCTAAGCAGAAATGAAGGTGAAGTAAAAGGGAATCAAAGGGAAGAGAAAAGAAAAGAGAAAAAATGTTGTTTCTTCACCTCTCTCCATGAGAAAATCACATAAAATATTTGCAGGACCCACAAAAGGATCTCATATATTATATTTACAAACTATAAAATAATGTGTTTCCATTTGGAAAAAAATCCAAAGTACCTACATACAAACAACATTGGATTATTATAATCAGTAGTATGACTAATATTTTTGTTTGTTTTCTGTTAAGGTAACATATTTGTTTGATAATGGAGGGACAGTCTTCTTTGCTATTTTTATGGCAATATGGGGTAAGTATGTTCTTTCATTACTTTCTTTCTAGCCCTTATTTTCTGAAGCTATTGCTGTGTTTCTTTACACACACCCTATGTATCAATTCAACATTAAAGTCTCTAGATTGGTACTTACTTTGTTTGCCCTCTTATACATTCACCGCTTCTTTGGGAATTTAACTCTTGATCTCACCCTCTAAGCCCTAAAGCACAGACCTTCCTCCACTAAGGTGCATGTTTTTCCTGTGAAAGGCAGGTGGTAATTAAAACCAAACTGAAACATGCTAGAATCCAAATTAAGCTTCTTGTAATATTATTCATGAAAATGATGTTCAGAAGATTTTTAATGTTTCCATTCACTTTTTTAGCCTTATGTTTTATACATTTTGAGATGCAAAATCTATTTTATGCATTGTTGAGCAATAATGTTTAATATATAATAAATCCTGTTTCTATCTAACAATTTAAAACTTTATAATGATTTCATATGGAGTTTTCTTCAATATAGCAGGTATTCTTGTCCTATCAGACAGAAAGCCACGTCCCAGTTGATTCTCCTGGCACTCACCCGTGAACAATCCACACAATATGCTTGACTTTTCCTTTTCTCTGTCCTCGATTTTCATTCACCTGCTCTTATATCAGCACCCCTAATGAATCTCTCAATACCTCAAACCATAACCACAGACTTCTAATTGCTCTTCTTGTCTCCATGATCTCCCACCTCCCACTTCAGACATCATAATACATTCCTTATGTGATAGCTTGGTAAATCTAACACAATAATTTTAAACTGTTAAACTCATCCTTAGGGCAAGTTCTGAATCTTCCCTCTCTTACTAGCTTTATCTCCCATAACATGTATGCAGTCCCACATTACATGAATATTACATGTATACTCACTATGTCTCATGGATGTGTTTCTAAAAATGTTTAAATTCATTGAGTTAAAAAATGCCTGAAAGATTTGTAAACAAATTTAGAAAAACAAATGAAAGGAACTTTAAGGGAAAATATTGTATAAACTGTGACAAATCATGTCCAGGCAACACAATTATTGTTAAGTATGGCTTTATATTTGCCATTTTTCTAAAAGCATGGTTATTTCTAGAGCAGGGGAGAGCCGTTATTTCTTGGTGATCTTTAAGTCCCTATGTGTAAAGTCTCTGTTCTGACACTCTAAGAGGCTGTTTCCTGTACAAGGTCTGTTGATAAAGGAAAACAGACAGCTGTTCAGCTGCTCAGCAGCCTGGGGTGTCTCTGTGGGATGCCTTTGGGAACACAGAAGCTGGATTCCCCTGCTGGGTGTAATTTTATGAGCTCTGTAGGAGAATTTCTTTATGATCTTTTTCTCCCATGTACATAATGTATACAGATGATTGTTCTCAAAACCAATT